GTAGCACCAGTCCATGAGGTTTGAAGAAGTGTGGTCTTCACAGAAATCAACAGGCTTCATTTGTTCAAAGATATTTAAACCATTGATTTTAGAAAGTGCTTAAATCTAAATAGATAATCTGTCAAAGCAGAAATTATATATATATATATATATATATATATATAAAGACATGTCTCATTGAATAATTTAGATAAGTTTTGTCTGCTTATTTTCTTTCAATTGGATCCTTTCATATTCACAGACAAGCTTCTTAGTATCCTTATTAAAGGAAGAGAGAAAATTGATATATATTCATTTATTCTAAGTACTTTTGACATTAGCACAATGTCATCATCAGGATGTTGTTTTTTGCTAAGACAAAATTGTTATGTTTATCTGAGATTTGAATTTTTTAAACTGTGATATGAGAAACGCTAAGGTTATGTACTGTATGATTTAAATTTCCCAATGTAAATGTCAGGGGTGGTAACTAAGTTTTGAAATGTCCATATGTTTTTTTTTTAAATATATATGGAGGAGGAGGAGGAAAGTGGAAGAAATGAAGAGGAAAAGTCATAAAAATAGGGAAGAGAGATCCAAACACTTATTCCCCTACCATATCATTGCCCCCAACTGAGCCTATAAGCCTGTACATGTAAACGCCTATTTCCAACTAATGGGTGCTAATATCTTGACATACCTTGACATTCCCCAGAATCCATCCAAGCAAAAATAAATTGTTATTAGTTCTCCAAGACCTTTCAGAATCAATCATATCACTCAATGATAGCCAAGTGGATAGAACCTCAAAGAAAAAGTTTAAATATCAAGAGTTCAAATCCCTCACTTGGAGTTTGCTTATCACAACACTGCAAAAGCAATTTATAAGAAAGCTTTTATGTTTTTGTTCTATTTTTTTTTTTTAATGTTAGAAGTTTTTTTAAGTAGATACTTCATAGATTTTATAAGTACGCAAACTGATTGACTGAAATGGCATATAGTAAAAAATGCTTCCTCTTCAGCTATGGGTTATATAGTAGGACTGCGACATGGCGTGGTAATAAGTAGTACAAAATGAGAAGATTCACTCTCATTTTCACTTTTTGCCAGTTTTCCCTTCTTAGTCCCCAGGCAAGCCGACTACTTACTTTCACAAATCCATGTGGTTCTCTCTCTCTCTCTCTCTCAAACACAATGTGAAACATTGGAAGCATCTTGCTACTCTATCACTATTCCTATAGAAAATGTTCAGATGAATACTTCACAGTTAAGACCTGCCATAATACACACATTGTAGTGAATCACCCTCATTCTCTTAGTATTTAAAATGAACCACTACTTTGTCAAAACAATTCCCAAGATGATGCTTCCTCAATCACTAGAAAATTAATCTGTACAAGTCTAAGGATAACTGTTATCTTCTTTACATATCCTCATAAACTGTGCCCCTTAGCTCTTAATCTCTAACCCTCTATTTCTATTGGCCAGAGTGAGAGCCAATAGCTGGCTGCCATGAATAGGCAGGAAGATTCTATTGGCCAGCATGAGAGCCAACAGCTGACTGACACGAATGTTAACTAGCATGCTAGCATGCAAAAAAATCGATAGCTGCATTCATCACAAGTGGGATAAATTTAAATTTGCATGGCACTTTACTCCAATTGGCTCATTCGCTTGCTTAAATTCAATGTTGATTCTGATTCTGCAGAACTGGGTTGGGTGTGAAAAAATATTTGTTGTTAACATTCTTTTTTCATTTGGTTTTTCCAGTTACGAGTCCTTTTTTAAAGCTGATCGTTTTGTGTTCATTTTGTTTGGTTCTTTTTTTGTAACAGATTTAATGTTTAGTATAGAGCTTAGAAAAAATTCTCAGTGTGAGATAGGCAAGAAGTAAGGCATGTAGCAACATCAGCACAGCAAAGGGCACTCCTTTAAAAGCAAGGAAGGGCAAAAATATTTTAAGTCAAGTGATAGCGATTGCTGTATGAGTCGTACAATTTTTGAATCAAGCACGGGCAATGCCGGGCTATGCTGCTAGTATAAGTATATTTTTCTCTCTTCTTGAGTTATGCTGTTCTATATATATGTACAAGATCTGATCAAAAAGTGTCAGGACTGTTGATATGGTAATGGAGCTAAAGTACACAAAGTGAAGACACTTGGCACAGATTGATCTTGAAATATGTCACACATGTGCAGTAAGTTATTACATTCTTGCTCACTTCTGTTGTTTATAGCAATGTGCAAAAGTAATGCGTGTAGAGTGTGGTCATTTCACCACACTGCAGTGATTTCATAAGTGACCACAGCTTGTGTGGAAGTTTTTGACCAAACATAACATTTCCCAGTTTTGGCAACCACCATATTCTCCCAATCTCACCCTTTGAGACGTTTTCTCTTGAAAAATGAAGTCTTACTTGAAAGCACCAAGATTTCCTGACATCAAGGAAATCCAAGAGAATTTCATGAGGCAGCTGCTCACTATCCTGAAAAAGGAGTTCCAGGAATACTTCCCTCTGTAGAAACCATGCTGGATAAAGTGTGTGACTTCAGAAGGGGACTACTTTAAAGGAGATTAAATGCTGAATTGATATGTCTTGTAGTTTTCTTTTTATATCACCAGTCCCAATACTTTTTGATCAAACCTCCTATATAGAAAAAAAATTCTTCACATGTTGAAGTCATTTATTTTGAAATTTTTCAACCTCACCCACTACAAAGAAAATGAAGCATGAGGGTGTATTAATTCTGCATCTGAGAATATTACTTTAAAAAAAAAAAACTCATTTTAATTTTCTGAGCACCAATAATTTGGATCTCCTGCAGGAGATCAAAGATCAAAGTATTCATTCCTCTAATAATTTATAATTAGGCTTCAAGAATTCATTTAAACAAGTGATATTAAATTCAAGTGACAAGGTCTGTTTGTTTAATTTTTTAGCATATTTTTCAAGTTTTCGAATAAGTTCTTGCTCACCTGGATCAGAGTTGTGGATAAATTGTACAGACGTCATGTTTTTGTTTGTAAGTACTTTCAACTTTCTCAGTTATAATCAGACTAAATATGGTCATTATCATAGACAAAATCTTATTAGCTACATCTTAGCATTACTTTGGAATTTTATATTCCTAATTTAAATATATATACCAATAATATCTGTAGCTATTCTTGCTCACTTCTGTTGTTTATAGCAGTGTGCAAAAGTAATGCGTGTAGAGTGTGGTCATCTCACCACACTGCAGAGGTTCCATAAGTGACCATGGCTTGTGTGGCAGTTTTTGGCCAAGTATAACTTTCACCAAGTCTGCCAACCACCATATTCCCCAGAGTTCACCACTTGAGACATTTTTTCTCTTCAAAAATGAAGTCCCACTTGAAAGGACCAAGATTTCTTGATGTCAAGGAAATCCAAGAGAATGTGATGAGGCAGCTGCTTGCTATCCAAAAAAAAGGAATTCCAGAAACACTTCCATCAGTGGAAACAATGCTGGATAAAATGTGTGACTTCAGAAGGGGACTACTTTGAAGGAGATTAAATGCTGAATTGATATGTTTTGTAGTATGATGAATTTCTAAGCATAGCTGAAATGTGGCAGAAAGTTCAAAATGATTTTCTAACTATAGCTTAGATGTGGTAGAAAGCTCAAAATGGGGAGCACTTAGTGAGGATCAAACTCATTACTCAGTTGTAATGGATCAAGCAAGAAAATTGCTAACCATTACACCACTTCGAAGTACACATGTATGTGACCGTGGAGATTTTTATTTATTGCTAGAATTTTTAAAATCTTTTTTTTTTCTATTCTGGTTCTTTTTTATGGCATTCTAGACAGGTTTCAAGAATATGTATATTACAAAAAATAATTTCTGGAAACTTCTGTGGTAAAAGTGGAAGAAAACTTGGATAAATTTTAATCAAAAATTATTCATAGAAAACTGAGGTGATTTAAAATACTTATTTCTTGAAATTTAAGTGAATTTAAATTTGAATAATTTTAGATTTGATCGTAATTTTAAAAACTGTTCAGGACAAATAAAAGTTAAATATTTCTCGAGAGAGTAGACAAAATTTTTTTAATACTATGTCCATAAAAAATTCCATAAATAAATAAATAAAAAGAAAATAATCACGTTTTTGCCATATAAATGTGGAGGATAAAAGGAAACAGTTGAATGTCTAGAAATGAATGAAAAAAAAATGAGGTTAAAAGGTCAAGAAGGAATAATTATGGTGAAGATCATTACTGTAGACACAGTGGGTTTAACAAAGGTAAAATAATAGACAATGTTAAGAAAGTTTTTTTTAAAAAAAAAAAAATGAAAATAAACATTAAAGAAAAAAGAAAAATAAATAACTAAAAATAAAATAAAAATCAAGCAAAAAAAAAAAATACCACAACACAATTAAGCAACACCACCTATCCACATTTCATCAGGCCCAACAGACAAATCTTACAAATTTATGCCTGTCTGAGGCAAAAAAATAAACTAAAATAGAGAAATAAAAAGAAGAAAAAAGGGGCAAAAAAGAAATGCAAAATAAAAAAAAAAAATGGTAATCACAAAAAAAATCTCCTTTTCAGATCGTCAGAATAGTTACAAGAGAGAAAAAAAAAAACCCCAAAAAAGTCAGCAAAAAAAGAAAAAAACACGAGGGTAGGGGTACAAAAAAAAATGGGTGCATTGTTATTTGGCAACTGGCAACAATTTGCAGTGTTTAACAGATTATTTACAGATAAACATCTGGTCACAAATTTTGCTTGGGGTCAACACTGAATTCACCTGGGTATACCACACGAGACAAGGCACCCAAGAACGTCACCTAAGACTTCTCTCTTCTTCCAACCTTCAAGCCCGCTGGCAGATAATTTTACCCTGTTGCGTATTTCCCATTGTCTGTCAAAGCAAGTTGTTTGCAGATGGTTGATCAACTGATTTGTCCACATCTAACAACTGTATCTGTGGAAATAATGATACCAAACGGCTGAGTGGGTGGAGTTAGAAAAAAAAAATGGAAGGCCTAAGTAGGGATGTGAAGCTGGGGGTCAATGAAGAGGAAAGTTGGGGCATAGAAAGAGAAGAAAACATGGATAAAATGAGATATTAAGATATGGCAAAGGGTGAAAAAAGATTGAGAAGAAAAAAACAGACAAAAAGAAAAAATGAATGTGGAGGAAAAACAGATGAAAAGGGAAAGAAAAAATGAATGTGGAGGAAAAACAGATGAAAAGGGAAAAAAATGAATGAGAAGAAAATACAGACAAAAAGGAAAGAAAAAGGTGAATAAGAAGGAAAAACAAACAAAAAGGAAAAGAAAAAATGAATAAGAAGGAAAAACAGACAAAAAGGAAAAGAAAAAATGAATGAGGAGGAAAAACAGACAAAAAGGAAAGAAAAATGAATGAGAAGGAAAAACAAACAAAAAGGAAAAGAAAAAATGAATAAGAAGGAAAAACAGACAAAAAGGAAAAGAAAAAATGAATGAGGAGGAAAAACAGACAAAAAAGGAAAGAAAAAGGTGAATAAGAAGGAAAAACAAGCAAAAAGGAAAAGAAAAATGAATGAGGAGGAAAAACAGACAAAAAAGAAAGAAAAAGATAAAAGAAAGAAAAAGATGAGTGAGAAGAAAATACAGACAAAAAGGAAAACAAAAAATGAATGAGAAGGAAAAACAGACAAAAAAGAAAAGAAAAAATGAATGAGAAGGAAAAACAAACCAAAAAGCAGGGGAAAATGCAAAAACAAGTATGTGAAGCAGAAAATGAGCAATATGAAAAAGAGAGAATGAAAAAGAAGACAAGGTGGCTGAAGAATGAAAGAGAAAAGCAAAAAGAGTCGAAAATAAATGAAAATGTAAATATCATTAGCGAGTCAGGAATTAAAATGAAAAAGAGAATGAAGAAAGGGAAGCAGAAATGAGAGAGCAAGAAAAAGTGAAAATGAAAAAGGAGACAAGATGAATGAAGAAAGACAAAAGAATGAAAGTAGAAAAAAGAAGTAGATAAAAACAGAAGAAAAAATAGAATAAATGTGAATTGCAGAATAAAATGACAAGAAAGTGAAAAGGGGAAAAAAGAAGCAAGAAAAATGTTAGCAGAAATTGGGTTAAAAATAAAAGATAAGAGAACAAGGGTAAGAAATGAAGAACAAAGAAGATGAAAAAAAAAAGAAAGACGGGTGAAAAAGAAAAGAAGAACAAGAGAAACAAAATAAGAATAAAGATGAAATGAAATAGAAAATCAGATCAGGACTTAAATGATCAAAAAATATAAAAGTAGTGAAGAAAAACACATTTTTGTTCAACACATGCCCATGTTTATGCCTATATAAGAGAAACATGCAGTGGAAGTAAAAAATAATTTTGTATGTATGACATACTGAGAGAGAGAAATATTCAAATGGGGAAAGATGCTAAGAGAGGTGTGTGTGTGTGTGGGTGTGCATAAAAAAGGTCTAAGTTTAGATAAGAAGAAAGAAAGAGAAATGGTGCACAGGTGAAAAAATCAGAGAGAACTTGTCTAGACAAATAAATGAAAGAGAGAATACATACAAGTGAAAGAAAGGGCGAATGCGTATAAGTTAAAATATACAGGTAAAAGACATAATGAGCACAGGTGAAAAAGAGAATGGCTGAACACAGGTGAAAGAAAGCAAAAAAGACTGTGCTCAAGTGAAAGAAAGAGAAAATCTACTTACTTGAAAGAAAGAGGAAATGAGAACTGTGGCTTGAAGAGGACAGAATGTGCACAGGTGAAATAAAGAGAGATGTGCACAGGTGAAAGAAAGGTTTTTCTATTGAGGGAAATAGAGTAGATACCTGTTAATGAAAGAAAGAATATATTGGAAAGTAAAATAAAAAAAGAAATACTGTTGCAAGTAGAGAGACAGAATATGTGTTAAAGAGATAAATGTGTTGCTCTTTCTGAGGTGGGAAAATAGAGGTAAAAAGGCTAGAGTTATGGGTTAAGATATGAGTGGACAGTAGGGGATGAGAATAATAGAACGTGGGGAACAGATTTGAACACAGGCCACCACTGAGGTATTCTTTTTTATCGGTTTGTCTTTAAAAGACAAAAAAAAAACAAAAAGCAAACATTTTGTTAGTGTTAATTGATAAAAGTTGGAGTCGGAGAAGCTGGGAGCCATGAAATAGGATCTTCTGATAGGAATGGCTGATAAGTGAGGTGTTTTTGGCTTTCAGCAGACCAGTGTCTTTGAAGTAGGCAAATATGTTGTGAGAGGAGGAGAAATAGAAAAAGAGAAGAAAGAAAAGGTGAACAATAATGAACTGGGCAGAGAAAAGAATAACTGGGTTGATGAAAAAAGAAGAACAATTGAGAGTAAGGAATGAATAACAGAGAGAAAGAAAAAGAATAAAAAAAGCAAGGGATGAAAAAGAGAGAACAGCTGAGGAAAGGTGGGAATGAATAACCAAAAAAAAAAAGAATGAATAAAAAGAAGCTGGGTAGGAAAAAGAAAAGGAATTGAGGTAAATAGAAAAATTCAAAGAGGCAGTGGAATAAAAACAAAGGTATGAAAGTATTAAAAAGTAAAATGATCAGGAAAAATAACAAAATAAGGTATGGCCAAAAATAATAAGAAAGGAGAAGGGGAATGAAAAGTAAAAAAAATGAGGAAAAAAGATTAAGGAAAAGAAGATGAGAAACAAGGTGAGGGAAAACTAACAAGAAGAAGAATAAGGAAAGAAGAAAAGGAAGAACAAGGATGGGGAATGGAAAAGAAAGGAGAAACAAAGATAGGGAAAAGAAAGAGAAGAAAAACAAGGATAGTAAAGAGAAAGGAAAAACAAAGATAGGGAAAAGAAAAGAGGAAGACTAAAGAAAGAAAAAAGAAGAAGAACAAGGATAAGGAAGAGAAAGGAAAACAAAGATAGGGAAAAGGAAAAAATAGAACAAAGAAAGAAAAAAGAGGGTAAGGGTAGGGAGAAGAAAGGAAAAACGAAGATAGGGTAAAGGAAAAAGTGGAAGAACAAGGAAAGAAGAAAGAAAAAAGAGGAAGAACAAGGATAAACTAGGATATGGATAAGAGAGGAAGAAAAAGGATAGGAAAAAAAGAAAGCAAGAATAAGGATAGGGAAAAGAAGAAAGTGAAAGGACAAGCAGATGGAAGCAAAGAGAGATGAAGAACAAAGAGAAGGAAAAAAGAGAGAGGAGGAACAAGGTCAAGGAAAAAGAAAAAGAGGAATAATCAGAGGAGGAGAAAAGAGGGAGGAGGAGCAAGGGCATGGAAAAGAAGGAAGGAGAGAGGAGGAACAAAGGTAGGGAAAAGAAAAACAGGAGAATCAAAGGGAGGGAAAAGAGAAAGGATAGACGAGTGCACATCAAAATGAGGAGTAACAGGAGCAGGAAAAAGAAAAAGTGGAGGAACAAGGGGAGGGAAAAGAAGAAAGATAGGATAGTGAACCAAAATGAGAGACAAGAGGAGGAGGAAGAAGAAGAGGAGGAGGAACGAGGGAAGGGAAAAAAGAAAAGAAAAGCATGAATAACAGTCTTAGAAAAAAATGTACTCAAACGACGTAAATTTAAAACTTGTAGAAATGAAAGAAGTGATGAAAAAATTTTTAAAAATTGAAGGAAGTAACAATAAAAAAAGGCAGAGAAAAGATTGCAAAGTGAAAAAAAAACAGAGCAAAAATAAAAGGAGTGTTGCAGAGGAATACATTACAAAAAAAATGAGAGAAAAAAAGATTTGTAAAAAAAAATGACAGAAAAGCAAGAGAATGATGAAGCAAAGATTGAGATGAAAGAAAAGACGAATATGAAAGAGAAAAGAAAAGAAGAGGGTATGAGAAAAAGTGTTGCTTGAAAAGTGGAAAAAGTAAAGAAAATATGGAGAGAAAGAGATAAAACAAATCATGTGAGAGCAGAAAAATGAAGAAAAGAAACAAAAAATAAGAATTGGAAAGAGTGAAAAAAAGAATATTTCAATGTTAGAAAGCAAAAAGTTCAAGAAGAAAAAACTACTAAAAAAAAAAACAGGAATGAAACAACTGGCAACGAAAAAACATTAGAAGCAAAGAAAGTTAAATGTGAAAGAAAAGTTTCTTGAAAACAATTAAAAAATTATTCATGGAAAAACAAACAATATTGAAAAAAAAAAAGAAAAAGGAATGAGTAGAAAAGAGCAAGTTAAGATAGGAAGGAAAAATCGAGTAGCATTGAAAAACATTTTTAAATTTAAAAAAAATGAAGAAAGAAAAAATTCCAAAAAATAGCTAAGAAATCAAATACTGAACAAGAAAACAGATGCGAAGGAAGTGAAGATCTAGAAACGAAAAACAATACAAACAGGCTTCTTTTTTTCTTTAAGAAAAAAAAAATGTAGTGAGAGGGACGAAAGAAAAGAGTTATTGGCAAAATGGCTGCTATCAGCTTTGGGAACAAGAATAACATTCAATGCCCGAAGCATGTCTTTTAACTCAATTCACCAAAGTCAATGTATTTTGGGATTTACAAAAAGTACCCAACTTGAACTTCATAGCAACTTGATATAATGCATTTTATAAGAACAATACTGACCACAATAGGAAAATACCTTTGGCTCTCGTTTTCAAGAAAGGATTGTCATTCTTTGAGAGAGTGAGTTTATAGCAAGAAGCCTCATATGATAAAAGATTTCCCCATTTTTCTTTCTTTTTTTTAATTTCTTTTTAAACTTCCTTCTCTCCTTAATTTTTCTTTCTTTCTTTATCTTCTCTTTCCTTTCCGCACTGTTACATTTACCTTTCTTCTCTCTTTTTATCTATTATTTTAAAAATATATTACATTACTATATTTTTAAAAATGACTCAACAAATAAATTTTTTGAATCAACCAAATTAGTTTTAAAATATAAAATAGTAACTAAATTAATAAGATAATTACACCTTTCTTTCTCCCGACCATGATCATCCCTTTGCATATCTAAGGGCAAAAGGAAATCTTTTGAAGAAGTAAAAAGATTATCTGTGTATTCTTTTTGGAACTGTAAAATGAAAAGATTTATCTCGTTTGTAAAAGACTGGAAAAGAAAAGAAGTGTAAAGAAGTGAAGGGAAAAAATGGAAAATTGGAAGAATTTAGAAGCCAAAGAGAGTACTAGAAAATGGAAGGGCAGGTAGAGAAAGAAAAGGAGAAGAAGAGAGTTAAAAGAAAAAGAACAGTGGGGGGAAAAGAAAAATGATTATATATGGAAGAGAAGAAAGAATGGGAGAGAGAGAGAGAAAAAGGCCAAGTGAGAAAGAAAGTTAGTTGGGGTGAGAGAAGAAAAGAGAGTGAGAGAGAAGAAACGCTAGGAGGGTGAGATATAAGAATGGTATGTAGATGAAAAAGAAAAATGGTTATGGGGAGGTGAGATAGGCTAGGTGGGTGAAATAGAAGGAAGAGTAAAGGTGAGACAAAAGAAAGGATGAGAGAGAGAGAGAGGCCAGGTGAGAAAGAAAGTTAGTTGTGGTGAGAGAAGAAAGGCAATAAGAGTGAGAGAGAAGAAATGCTAGGAGGGTGAGATATAAGAATGGTATGTGGATGAAAAAGTAAAAAGGTTATGGGGGAGGTGAGAAAGACTAGGTGGGTGAAATAGAAGGCAAGAGTAGAGGTGAGAGAGAAGAAAGGCTAAGAAAGTACTAGGAAATAGGAAGATTTTGTTAGAAACAAAGAAAAGAGTGCTGAACTGTAAGATGAAAAGACTGGAAAATTCTTCATTTTCCAGTCTTTTCATTTTGATCTTGTTTGCAAAAGACTGGAAAAAAAAGGGAGCATAAAAAAAAGTGAAGAAAAAAAAAAGTAAAAATGGAAGATTGGAAGAATTCAAGGAGAGTATGAGAAAATGGAAAGGAAGGTTGAGAAAGAGAAAGGACAATAAGAAGTGGGTGGGGGTTAAAATAAATAATAACAATGAGAGAAAAAAGAAAAAAAGATTATATATGGAAGAGAAATAAAGAGTAGGAAGAGAGAAGAAAGGATGGGAGGTGGAGAGAGAAAAGCCTGTGTGAGAAAGAAAAGCTACTGGGGTGATAGAAATGAAAAGCTTGGAGGGTAAGAAAGAAGAAAAGCTAGGAAGATGCGATATAAGAATGGCTTGTGGATGAAAGAGAAAAGAGGCTAGGTGGGTAAAACAGAAGACAAGGCCAGAGAACTAAGGCTAAGAAAGTACTAAGAAATTGGAAAATTCTATTAGAAACAAAGAAAAGCATGCAGAACTGCTATATCATATCCATCCTCTCATATGGCACTGAATGGCAGACAATTTCCTCACAGATGAACAGTAACTCAAAGGGAAAGATATACAGTTCAACAGATGGATGCTGAGAATACCAGAGACTGAACATTTGACCAATAAGGAAGTTTCAAAGAAAATAGTAATGAGGAGACTGATACTTAAAATCATAAAGTGACAATTGAAATTTCTAGGACACATCATGTAGAAAAAGAGGACTTGGAAAATTTAACACTTACAGGACATATTAAAAGAGGAGAGACAGAGGGCAACAGTAATTAATCTATCTTATAAATTTGTCCAAATGGATGGTAGAGTGGGGACAAAGAGGGGTGGTGAAGCATCAAATTCTGATTAGAGCTACAAGAGATAGGAATAACTATTTACACTATTTACATTGTTTGGACTACTGTTCTCACCTGCATTGCCATATTCATGACGTTTTGGCTGTTGTATACTCTGGCCTTCTTCAGCTGATATAGGTTGGAATTTCAAAGTGAACACCTGAAGAAGGCTGAAGTGTACAATGGCTGAAACATTGTGGATATAGCAATAAAGATGAGGACAACAGTATGAATGATGAACGTGGTGTAAATAGTTACAATGCCATATCTCAGAAATATAGACAGATATTGTGGAGCACCATGATTACTGTTATGGTAATTTACCCATGCACACATGGACTCTACCATCTATAAATAGGAGCAGACACTGCCTTTTTGAGAGGGAACTTTCCAGCAGTCAGCTCTAACAGTCGGACCGACCATTCTTGCTGTAACACTCACGTTTGTATATGTTTTGTATTACTGTTTCAATTAATATATTTAACTCATTTCCTCTCTTTGTGTCTTTATTTCTGGCCCCTAACAAGGCCACAACAATTACACAAATACTGAAGGAGCACAGCATATAAAAAAAGATAAGTTTTAGGCTTTTCTTATTGTTGCCAGTTGACCTTACCATTATCCTGCAAAGCTTGAGTCATTTTTTTTTTTTTGTGGGGGGTGCATTGATAATCAAAATATTTCTGGTCACAAGGAAAAGGTAAGCATTAAATTTTACAATGTTTTAGCTAAAATTTGTCTTAGCAAGTTTCAACACTTAATTTGTATGTAGTGCATTGAAATCAGAAAAAATAGTCAGAAAATAATGTGAGTGTTACTGACAGAACACAGCTATTATGCAAGATAGTCTGTAGTAGTTTCATTAATGTTTCATTGTTTGGTTAGATTTTGGATATTTGAGGAAACAGTCTTTGTAGAGAATATGAATTTATGTAAATGTAACTGCAATGTCCTATTCTGTTCAGACTCTGATTCAAAAAATAAAATCTTCATATAGACAAGAATATCAAACATAATAATTAAATAAATTAAGTATATACCAATACAAAAATAAAATAAATAACAATAAAAGTAATAACTAAATAATATATTAAATATATATATGAAAGATATGATTTAAATCAGTGGTTCTCAACTGGGGTCCAAATGGACCCTGGAGATCCATGTAACATTATTGGGGATTCACAAAAAAAATATGAAATTAGGGGTTCATGGTAATATTTTAATGGTCCTTAGAGCAATTTCACTTTGCAATGGTTGTTACAATAATGTATAAACAGAAAATATATTAAAATAATTATCGGATTTAATCCATTTCATATAATATGTTGACATTGTTTACATTAGGCTTCAATTTCAGAACAGATATGTTAAATTGAGAAAAATCATCAAAAAACAGAGAATTGGAATTTCTACAGTAATCTACACCATATAAAAATACTAAGAATAGAAAAAAACAGGTCTAAAATTGGCAGAAAATGAGATCAAGTGATGTAAGTTAGTGTCCCAGATGTTTCCATTGTAAAAGTTGAATAAAAATTGAGAAGGATAGATATTTACTAACCCCACATGAGGTCAGATTGTGACACAAGGTCAGTTTAATGTGGTGAGCCTGAGCGCATACACCTGGGCAAGAAACAAAAATTCCCTGAGTCCCCGCAACCATTGGCTGCGCTGGCCTCGGTTCATGCACCGATCTTTCTCTCTAGTGCAATGAGAAGGCATGGCCTCAGGCAGCTGTTCCCTAGGGCTGGCACCTCTCTGTATAATTTTCCTCAATTGTGAATCTGTCCCTTGACGGAGTCACCCCTGAATGCACTCTGCCCAAAGACAGAGATGCAACTGAGAAGGGTATATAAGATATATATATATATATATATATATATATATATATATATATATATATATATATATATATACAAGTATAGGATTGTTGTAAATGGAATAAAATGATCAGTAATTTTGAATAGTACAATCACTTGTAATAATTGCCACAAGCAATACAAAGGAGAAACCTCAAGGGACTTAAGTAAAAGATTATCTGAACATAAGAGGAATCTTTTACAAAACAACACATTCAGTGTATTAGTTACTCACCATAATGAGTTTGACTCTGATTTAAAAAATGCTGCTCAAATTAAAAGAGAAAGTAATTTACCAAGACAAAAATGTAAAGAAAATGCTTTAATTACTAGATCACCCACAGTAAATTTACATTCAGGTTCTTTTCAATATTTCACCTTTCTTTGCAGACCTTCTGCCACAATGTGGAATGTTTAATGACAAAATTGATGGAAACATGAACAAAAAGAAAAAGAAACTAAATGAAATCAGTTAGACTATATACCCAAAACATATATTTAAAACAATTTTATTCATTAAATTTAAAATTCTCTCCTTTTCATGCACATGTGTAATCATATCAAGGTAAACATCACTTTAGTACAATGAAGTTTTAAAGGATGAAACTTGTCAAACAAAAACTTTTTCCACTTTGTCACAAGTTTTCTTTAAAATTTAAGTCTATCTAATATTTGATAAAATATATGATTATTGGATAGATTGACTGATTGATTTGTTTGTTTGTTTTTTACAGGTTATCGGCCCTTTCTGGGTAATTAAAACCAAAACATACTTCAGATTCTATGCATGAGGCTTCTCTTTGTGATTGTATAGTGCATTAACAATTTTTTAAGAATAATAATGATTTTTCCAGATACAAGTCCTAACATTTAACCCATAGCTGGAGGAAAGAGATATAAAATTATTGGAAACATTTACAATGTTTAATTAAGATTTTAATCCAAAAACCTTTCTAAAATTATAAAAAAATGAATAATTTCAGATTAGATATTGTAATGTTATAATGTTTTTAGTATAAAACAAATTTAAAATTTACTTGATGTCAATAATGTTTTTTTTACATAATGTATGTAAAATAAATGTGATACCTGCTAATAAATTCAATAGCTTTATCTCAGCCTGTTAAGTGGATCTTCTTCTTCTATAAGCTATATTCCTTCAGAACATTGAAAATCATGGCTCTCCTCAATTTCCTATCCTTTGTAGCTCTTAATAAATTTTATGTTTTTCTTATCTCCCCTAAACTTTGTTCCATCATCCATCTACTCCAGTTTGCTAGGTAGGTTATGTATGTTTCCCACTGGCCCTCCTGCATTTCCTGTGAGTATCAAATTTTCCAAGCCCTCTTTCCTCATTATGTGCCCTAGAAATTTTAACTATCTCTTTCTGATCTTAATTATAAGTTTCCTTTTGGTTTCTATTTTCTCTATAACTTTGTCATTGCTCACATGTTCAGTCCATGGTATTCTCAACATCCTTCTGTTGCTTCAAGTCTCTTTTTCATCTGTGAGGATATTGTTCAGCATTCACTGCCATATAGGAGGACTGATATTACATAACAGTTCAATAATCTCTATTTGTCACTCTTTTTTTCTGTTTCTTAATACTTTGCTTAGGCCTCATTAGCTATCTAAATGTGCCTTCAGATTTCAGTGTTACATTTTTTGTCCTCTGTTAAAACACTTCTCAGATATTCAAATTGTTGTACTTGTTTGATTTTGATATAACCAATTAAAAATTTACATGATGGGATGCCCCTTTTGCTAGCAACCATGCATTCTGTCTAGATGTTTAGGTGAATGGATCACTGTTTGCAAAATTTCAGTTTGGAGAATAAGTCAATGAACCTTTTATTTATTTATTCACCATGGGCATGAATATTGAGGAAAGTGCCAAAGAACTAAGTGTTACTTGGCTTTTGGTAAAGTCGGCCAATTAACACTGAGGTCAAAAATATAATTATTATTGTTATGAATTTATCAATAATATTAACATGATAAATTTTCATATTAAAAATGTAAAAGTAAAACAATGTCAAGGATGTAAACAATATTTTATCAAATAATAATGATAATAATAATAATAATAATAATCAGGTGGTTTGATGCAAAAGTATGTAATTAATAATAAGAAAAAAGGAAGAGAGGAAGAAGGAGGACAACATTAAAAATTAATTAATATATAAAAAGAAGAGAAGACATAAGAAGAAAGTGGAAAAAAATAATAATTGTATTGATTCTATAGAAATAAAAAGAAGAGTGATATAAAAAGAATGCCATGTTGAAAGCCAAAAAGGAATGCAACATCTCAAAGAATGAAGACAAGAAGAATAAATATTTTTAAAATAATGGAGAGAAAGGAAAGATGTCAAAAAGAGAAAAGAAAATACAAGTGAGTATAATAAATTGAAAGAAATATAAAACAGTGAAAGATTAAAAAAGAAAAGAAAAAATGAAATAAATGCTCAAATAAAAGTGGAAAAAAGTAACCAATCAAAAAATAAAAAAGTAACCAATCAAAAAATAAAAAATAAACAAATCAAGATGGACACCCTGAAATCATTTTCCTATCCATTTTCTTTTTGTTACTTGTTTTCTGTTTTTTCCCACCTTTATTGCTCATCTATTCCGTCATCAAATAGAAGCAATGGCTCATTGTTTTTGTTAATCAGCGTTTGTCGTCATGTTTTGTGTAGATGTGCAGCCAGGCTTGCTGCCTTGAAGACATTTGGATAAGGTTCTTTGCAGTTTCAGACCAATTGCTTTTATGATGAGACTGCACATTTCAAATTGTGTTTTCGTGTTTGGAATGTTGGCCATGTTGTTGCTTTTCAGTGTTGAGTTTTTATCAGTTTCAATGTTAGCAGAATTTAAAGCACACTTAACAAAAAAAAGAAACAAAGAAAAGACCACATAAAAAGCAATAATAACATCATCATGATCATCATCATAATAAATGAAGGTGATGACAGAGGTGATGATGATGATAATAAGAGAGGAGCTAAAATTTTGAATGATAGCATAACAATACTAAATGAAATAAAAAAACAAATATTCCAGATTATGTGTAGATTTATAGTCATAATATTATTGATAGTAATAATGGGAAAAGGATAAAGAAGTAATAATGGAAATAAGATGATGATGATGTTGGTGGTAGTGAAAAAAAGAAATATTAATATTCATGAAAGGCATATAGAAATAATAATAATAATGAAAAAAGAGTAAAATAATTAAAATCATAACTCAAAAATTTGAAAATAATATTAGAAAAAAATGGAGGATTACCTATTGAAAGAAAATGAAAGGAATACTACAGCTTATTGGAGGAAAAATGAAGGAATATTATTACTTACTGAAAGAAAATTGGAAGAATACAATTGATAGAAAATTTTAAAAAATACTATTGTTTTTAAAGGAAAAAAAATGAAGAAAAACTACTACTTAATTGGAGATGAAATGAAGGAATACTATTATTTACTGGAGGAAAAATGAAAGAAAACTATAGCTTATTAAAAGAAACAAAGCCTATTGGTCATTAGTGAAAAAATGAATGAATTATTATTATTATTATTATTAATATTGGGTTGGAACAAATGTTCATGGTGATTTTTTAAGTGAATTTCAAAGACAATATTTAGATATTTGTACATTCAACCTCATAAGTACCATTTTGTTGCACAACCTTTCATAATGATTGAGACAGCTTCATGATTCCACCTTCCCAAACCTTGGAATCTAAGTAGTTTTTACAGGCTTCCAGAGATTTGAAGTTATTC